CGGCACCCGGCCAGCAGCGCAGCAGCAGCCCTGCGGCTCTGCTTTGCAAGGGGCTCCCGTCACCCCAGCAGCGGGGAAGGCCAAAGTGAGCCAGAGACCTCCTGCTCTTCCTCCTCCTCCACACCCAAGCACGGAGCTTGTCCAGGCGCTGCATCAAAAACACATCCGCAGCAGCTGCTGCTACCAAAGAGCAGGGGAAGAAGCCGCCCTGCTCCCCGTGGGAGCTGCAGGATAAGTGTCCTCCTGCGGCAGCCCCATGCCCCCCCTGCGCTGCCGACGCGGGCTGGGCAGCCCTAGCTGCTGCCCGACGAGGAGCACACGGAGCTGCACATGGTCAGGTTCAGGCTCGCGGCCTCCGCCTCGTCGGGGGCTTCAGGGGGAGACGTGGGCTCGCTCGGCTGCTCTTGGCTCCTCTTTAGTCTGCAGAAGAGAGGAATGAGGTGTTGTATGGTGTCCCCAATGAAAGACACGGCCCGACCCCAGGTATACGAGACACATGCTTCCAGATCGGATGTAAAGGGTAGATCCTTACATGGGCTGAAATATGAGTGAAACTCCCCCAAGTGCACTGAGGTACTCCCAGAGACTGCCCAAAGCTGCCACCGCCTGCCTGGACCTTGGCCACAGACACAGAGCTTTTGCCCCGCAGGAGTCAAGTAACAGCCCTCTGCTGCCGAGAGAGTCAAGAAAAAGGATCTTTCTGTCCCCACATACCCCACACTCACTTCTCTCGGTTAAAAATGACAAAGTCCTGCTGGATTGCTTCAAGGCATTCTTGGAGATAGTCATTCTCCTGTTGAAAAAGAAGAAAGCAGGTGTAAGAAGTGCTGCTGCATGGCCTTGCTCCCCTGCAGCAGCCGGTGCTCCTGCCCGCATGCGCCGATGTGCGCCACCACTGCGAACACCTAGGCGGACCACGGAGGCATCCTCCGCCACCTCCACGGGGCACCTTCATAACCTCCATGGGGCACCTTCACCACCTCCACGGGGCACCTTCATCACCTCCACGGGGCACCTGCAGCACCTCCACGGGGCACCTTCATCACCTCCACGAGGCACCTTCACCACCTCCACGAGGCACCTTCACCACCTCCACGGGGCACCTGCAGCAGCACCAGCTGCCCTAGTCTGACCCTGAGCTCTTGCCCTCTCGAGTGCAGGGCAATGGGTACCCCTCTCAAAGCCCTGAGAACTGCACAAAATGGGTGGCTAAAATACACAGTCATCCTGGAAATTATGCCCTAGGTCTTGGCATGTGAAGTGCCTTCAACTGTGTTGGCAGCAAAACCTCCGAGAGTTATTTTCAAGTTAGCTTATTCCGATTTTTTCCCCTGGTTCCTGATTCATTCCTCGGCTGTTTACAGTAAGTAAGTGTCATTGACTGCAGCATTAACTGCTGAGGAAGGACGCACTCCACTGCACTTACCTGGTGCAGCCAGGCAAAAATCTTAGCAGATACTTCCTGCTGCTCCCCAATAATGGATATTCTTATTCCCAATGGAGGAAAGAAATTTGTTTCCCTTATTTTGGTATTTTTAACTAAGGTAGGGAACATGGGAGCAGCTGTTCAGGTAGAATGAATACTCCCTCACATATGATTCCCTGAACATCTGATTTAGCTGCAAATACCCCCTACGAAATACTGAGTTTCTCCTTGACCTGTGGTGCCTGGATCTCTCTTGCTCTCCTTTGAAGTTCCAAAGTTTGGATTAACGTGGAAGAGATCTACTAGGCTTACATAAGATGAACATTTGGTTGTCAGGACGATTCCATTTGGCAAATGTTTCTATTAAAATAAATCCGCACGGGAAGTCATTGCCACAGCAACAGCCGCGCTCCACCTCCAAACACAGTCCCTCTGCTTCTCGTCCCGTGGCCGGTTACTGCAGGACTGCACTCACCGACTGGGAGCTGTCCTTGCTGTTGTCCCTCGACTTGTTCTTTGCAAGCCTCTTCTTCTTCTTGTGCAGCGGCCGTGACTCCAGAATCATCTCCTCCAGCTCGAAGGTAGGGTCGCAGTGCAGGCGGCCCTTCTGCAGGGGTACAAGACACCATGGGGAGATTAGATAGTGCTCAGGGAAGAGATTCTCTCTTCAGCAACACATTCAGAGACTCCCTCCAAGCCAGGAAGCCTCTGCAGAGGGTAAGAGCCGAACGAGCAAGCGGGTCGCTGGCCCGAAGGGGCACTCACGTTGGGCACAAAGCCCGGCTCCACCTTCTTGTCGCAGACGTCGCTCCACGCCACGGCGCACAGGTAAGCGGAGGCACTCACGTTGGGCACAAAGCCCGGCTCCACCTTCTTGTCGCAGACGTCGCTCCACGCCACGGCGCACAGGTAAGCGGAGGCCTGGACGTCGGCGAGGCAGGAGAAGCGATGCTCGGGGTTCACGGTCAGCAGCTGAAACGACACGCGGCCCCGCGGCGCCTGAGCGGCACGAGGGCAGAGACCCGTCCTGCCCGCGCAACGCAGCTCCGCACGGAGCAGAGAGCGGCTGGGGGAAGCGCCAAGCGCTTCACACTGAAAATGAGCACAACGCCCCGACAAGCGCAGCGCGCCCCCGCCGGGAGCGCTGCTTTGCTTCCTCCCGTGCCTGCTTGGGCCGCACAGCCGGCCACGGCGTGGCCACGTGCCGGCCGGCCCGCTCGTGCCAACACAACCACGGGCACAGACACCGCAGCTTCGCCCTGCTCTGGGCTTTGCTCTTTCACAGCAATGTTCATGTCCTGAGCGCCTCATCCTCTCAGGATCAAGCTCCACGTGTCCTACTTCCAAAGAACTTCTGTGAAATGAGTATTTTCTGATCCCCGCACACACAGAGTATGAAGTACACAGAAAAATCATTCAAAACGACCTCTTGGCCTGTCTGCTCAGCTGAGACACCAACTTGAAGATACATCTGATTTTTCAAAGCATTCAGCGCTGGGTACCACACTGTATGTCCAAACCATGGCTGCCACTGGTTTTACTCATTGCTTTTAGTGAACAACATCTGATTGATGGACTATGCATAGTAATAACCAACCCTACAGAATGCCCTTGTAGGGCTTATTTTCTCTAAAAAAAAAGTCATAACCAACCCTACAGAATGCCCTTGTAAGGGCTTATTTTCTTTAAAAAAAAAGTGTATTTCGAAGCAGGGTAGTAGAGATGGTTATAACCTTTTTTGCAGAAAACCAAATCAGTCTCAGCACTTCTCCAAAGCCAAAGCTGAGCATGAGAGCAGACGGCCGCATGCCTCCCACTGCCCCAGTTCAGAGAACATGTTCATGTGGGCTAAAGTAAGCCAATGTGTCCTTGCATCCTGCTTACAGAAATCAAAACACGATGCTCCTGATAGCAGCATGGGCAAGAAAACTGCTTTGATACCAAAGTCTCCCCACAGCAATACTAATTACTTGACTATCTCTTGGCACTCAGAAACCTTCCTTCACGCTTTGTTTTGCTGTGCAACAGATTTGCAGTCAGCTGTGGCACACGACAGCCTCTTATGGGTGACACCAGTGCTCCTTTCTGACCAATGCTTCCTTTTCTCTGGTCTGTGTTACAGAAAAAGAGGTCTCATCCCTATCTGGTATATCACAGAGTCTAAATAAGCAATACAAATCCCTACACAGTAGAAGTTGCCACTATGAAGCCCCCCAAACCTCTGCACAATCTCCTGCAAAATGCTCTAGAGATATATTCAGTTCTGGTTAAAATTAGCTCTACTTGCAACTACTGTCTGGATGAACTTTTAAGGTAATTTTCTTCACTCCATAAAATTATCTTTATCTTTAAAATTACAGTGAGGGTATCTACCATTCGAGGGTAAAGCTACCACTTTACAGGGTGAGTCTGCACACTTGCCTGGCTGTAGCTCTCCTGGAGTTGTGCAGAGATGAGAAGTTACTGGACTTTGAAGCCCTGACAGCTCTAGGTGTGCACAGTGCATGCACAGAGTGTGTGTGTGTGTGTGTGTGTGTATTTTTGTGTGTGTATATATAAACGGCTGTTGATATTTTCTGGTTAGACATTTAATTTCCACAGATATTTTTTAAAGCGTGTGTTCCCCAACTCAACCCAGTAGATGGCATTGTGATCTAGCTGAATAATTTTTACTGCAACAATAACTAACAACTGTTTCTCGTTAAAATAAAATCTAATTATGTAAATTGTCCACCCAACATTAACTTAAATTGCAGTCGCTGACTTGCTGTCAGCACAATGTATATCTTTTTTATAGCACACTGATCAGTGACTTTTCTGCATTTTCAAGCAAGCAAAAGCTAAACAACAAAGAGAAACTTTCTAGCTGTAAAAATGCAATTAAAGCAACAGACTGCCCCACATTTTTATATACATATATAAAACCACGCCAAAAAGCCTATTTACCTTTCTTAGCAGGGCAACCATTTCCTTTGACCATGCAGACGAGTACTGGACACTCACAGTACTGAAGAGCTGGACTAAAGACTCTACTGGGTTACTGGAGTGGATATCATATGGTCTCTGAGACGGAAAAAAAAAAAACCATGGAAATATGAGAAAATGTTTACTTCTCTTTCTGAAGTTCACTACAAAAGCACGGTCTAAAGGATGGTACAAAACCCCTTACCCATCCTCGAAGAAGTTCATAGGCCATAATGCCCAAGGACCACCAGTCAACTTCAAAGGAGTAACCCGTGCCACCATTCATGAACGAATGAAAGATCTCTGGAGCTAAACAGAAAGCATAAAAATAAGATGATTTATTCACAACTGCCATTTGCTTCTCTTTCAATGAACTATTTCATATAAGCCACTACGCAAATGTTATCATGACTTTCATGCATTAAAGCCACAGGAGTCTTTGCAAGAAGGCTGAAGCGGGCAGGGTCTCTCCTCCCCGCGCCGGTCGCTGCCAAGCCCTGCGGTTACAGGGGCCTGGGGAGCCCTTGCTCCTCACCAAAGGGCAGAAGAACCCTGGTCACCGCCCGGGGAAGGACCAAGCCCCAGCTCAAAACAGCATCAGGAGTCACAGGGAGATGGAGAAGACGGGCAAACACAACCCGATCACAAGGGATCTTCTGAGACCAATTCATTCAATTCTGGAGTTTTGCAAGCTCAAACAATTCGGCTCTGCTGAATGACTTGGGTGCATGCATTAATGCGTTTGATTAATTCAGCTCCTTGTGACAGATACCCATCACAAGACAGCAGGCTGCGAGTGTGCTCTGAATGCAAAACAGACCTGTAACAAGCAGCTCTGAGTTCTTACCCATGTATGGCTTGGTTCCAGCTAAGGCAGTTGCTCTTTCACCATCCCTAATTATTGTTGCAATATTAAAATCTGTTAAATGTGCATGACCTTAAATAAAAACAGAATTTGAGGAGGAATTAATGGCAGAACAGACAGTTGCAATGTGGAGTCAGAATACAAAACCTGTCAGAGGCATTTGCTACCAGACAGTGTAGCACAGGTGTGGGCAGCTCACAATCTAGCTCCCACCAAATAGCCCTCACACATCCTAAAATTATCTCTAGATTTCAGACTTGTTAGATGGAAAATGTTTAAATGGTAGATAGCTTTGTTCCTTAATTTTCAAACCTATCTTGGAACTTCACATTTTGAATAGCGGTCATGTAAAATACCCAGGTTTTTTCATCCTACTTCTATATTTGCTTTGATGCTCTATAGTTATTTGAGCTGAGATTCACAGGGATTCTGCAAAGGTTTCCATGGCATAAACATATCAGATATCAGAACCTGTCTAAATCACATGGACATTCAGAAAATTAATAGGCTTCTTTTAGGGGTATAGTGACTATTCCTCACTTTCTAAAATATCTTCAACCCCTGCAAGGAGAACTGTTTTGACAGACTAGAATTAAAGAATGACCATGAGAAAAGATTTTTTTTTTAAAGAAAAACACTCGTTGAATCTTATGAGCTTCAAACTTGGGACAAAACCAAGTCCAACTCCAAAATTCTAATTTTTAACCATTTGAAAAACTTAGGTTCAACTTTTAGCCTGTATGAATGAACACAAGGTATGTGACAACACTGACTGAAGGGGCAGCACAAAAATCCAGGGATGCAGAAAGTAGTGAGAAGAAGCACTGTAACAGGTTAAGCTTGGAGAGCTTAAACATTACTAACATGCCCACCTTGGGAACTAGTAACCTACACCAGCTCCTGCGTTTGGTCGTACTGATATATCCAGACCAATATGTAGCAAAGACAACAACAGGGAAATGCTATACTAAGAAAACACCATGGTAGCATTGATTTAAAAAAAAAAAATCTGGAATTTCTTTTGGATGAAAGCCATCCAGCTAACCACGACTGCCTCTGAACCTTGAGAGCAGAACAGTACTGCACATAGCACAGCATGCTTGGGCATGCTGGTCTAAATGAATCAGGACAACATTTTTCAAACCCTAAAACTATATCAAGAAATAATTACGATTTTTTGAAAAGTGCTGGAATACTTTCTCTGTTTCTCCATTCTCTATCATCAGGACAGAAAGTGAAAATTCTAGCAAAAAGTGGGGGTAAAAGTATGAGAAAAATGCCTCATTACCAAGCTATTCTTAGTTCTGCAGCCCAGTCTTGGGCAGCCCAAATTAGATAAACACTCAAGTGATACGATTGGTTTTTTGGGTTTTTTTTTTTTTTGCACAGAGCAGACGTTTCCAAGTCTTTTTCTGCACTATTATTGTCCAAGATACTGCCTACATCACAAACAAACTACACAGGATCAGGAATAATGAGCATCAGCTGAAGCAGCACAGATTCCTGTCAGATATCTGAAAAACATTCTAACTACAGAAGCAGCCAAAGACAGGGATAACTTGCCAGGGCAGGAGCAGAGCACCAACAGTCTCCCCAGTTCTTTGCAAGACAGATGGAGGTGAGGGACAGGCAGAGCTGTGGTCGCGGTGGCTCCTGCTCCAGGCCGGCCGGGTTTGCCAGCATTCCCCAGCCCTGTTGGGAGCTGGTGGATATCCCCAATGCCCGAGCAGCTCTCCTGCGCCTGCAGACGCAGCCAGCGAAGCTCGGGGCGGCCGGGCGGGCCGGGCGCCTGCAGTGCCGGGATGTCTCCCGTCTCCGGGATGTCCCTGCCCCGGCAGCTGCCCGACGGCTCTGGATGCACGGATCATCACGCCCCGACCTCGCAGAGGAGGACACGGACACGCGCACAGGCTGCCGAGCACTTGGTGAGCGACTGCCAGTCTGCGTGCAAGTGTCCTCTCCACACCAGAGACGCCCCCAGCGAGGCCCTTGAGAGAGAATCTGCACCGAGAGAAAGCCAGACCTCCCGACAGCTCGGACGAATGCAAGGGGATTTGCACCACGGGGAACACCACTGATCTCTAATCCTTTCACACGGACCACTCCAGTACAAAGTGCTCTACAGAAGAGACCAGCTGTAGTTTAATGCTCTCCTTCATATTTCTCAGATGAGTTTTCACAGATTCCTTATATTGCAAACACATCAAACTAATGGTTACTTCAAATATCTTGCTATCTGAGTTGAGTGATCAAGAACAAAATAAAATGCGAGTGTTGGCAGGTAAACAGTCTGGTGGGTCATTATTTTCAAACCAACCTGAAATACAGAAAACCTACCCAGTTGCCATTCCTGAGGCTGTTTTCTTCTATCTTTCTACCAGGCAGCTCTGGAAATGATGTGTATATCACAAACCCCTTTCTCCTATTGCTTAAGATACTCTTGTTCTCATTTATGTTTGGGCGTTTTACCCTGCACCAACTTCTCTTTGTAAATTCTGCTGCAGGTCATTATTACAGGGCCTCACATGTGGTCTCCTCTCCTGTGGGACCTCCAAGAGCACTAACAAGATCCTCTTTGTGAAGGGCTGTGACCTCTCTCTTCCTGGCTCAATCCAGGTCTCAACTCAGAAGAGCTTAGATCGAGAAGACATCAGAAGTATCTATCTTTCTTCCTGCTTAATAAAAGCATATGTTCGGACAGCTCCCTTCAAAAATGTTTTTTTTTGTGTGTGCTCACATGGCAAAGCAGTGTATTTCTTGCCTAGACAACCTGTGCAAACTAAGAGGCCCCGAGGTTACCAGTGTGAGGAGAAGAAGCCTGGGGCTGCACAGTGGCAGAAGGGTGACTGAGCAGGGCTGTCCAGGGACTGCCCTTCGCAGTACGAGACCAAACAAATAAAAGCAGTGGTGCCTTTCACACCCTTTTTCCAGACACTCAGCAGTGGGACACTAAAAGCTCAGCACGTTGTGGAAGAAGGTATAAAAAGCTAGATAGGTAGCTCCTACCTTGCTCATCAAGGAGAATGTTGTCTGGTTTTACATCTCTGGAAAAAGAGAAAAGGTTGTAGTGAGATGAAATCTCAGTCATATTGAAGATGCATCTCAACAACAAAAAAGCTACTTCTCATCTATCAAAAATTATAAAGATACAAAGCAAAAACATCCTAATATGAGATAAGCCCCTCACAGATGGATTAGATGGAACATGCTTTTCCTGGGCAATCAAACGAAAAAGTGGAAACACCTGGCTGCTTTGGCCATCACTGCCACGAAAATGGATATTGCAAGATTAGGCCTATTCCTATGAAGTCCCAAATCATTTTAAAAATAAATCCTGAAAGGCACTGCTTTCAGTTATACCAGTAAAAAATTGAGATTTCTCCCCTTTTTGACCAACTGGCAGGAGCAGCAACCAAAATGCTGCCCAGACTGGAGCCAGTGGGAGCAGTGTGATGGAAGCAGCTCCAGTGGCTACCTGTGGATGATGTGCTGGCTCCGCAGGTAGTCCAGCGCCAGCGCCATCTCGCAGATGTAGAGCTTGACCGTTTCTTCCGTAAACTGCACGTTCTGCTGCAGATGGTAGCGCAGGTCCCCGCCCAGCAGCAGGTCCACCACCATGAACATGTCCTCCTCGTCCTGGAAGGAGTACCTGCGGGCACCAACGGGGTTAGCGAGCCGCCGGCTGCACAGCAGGTACCGAATGACGTCGGGTTTTCTCCCTCTCTTAATTACACAGCACCTGCGAAAAACTGTAAACATTCCCACTACGAGCATATGCTGGCTACAATGTTTACAGGTTTTTAATTAAGCAAGCGTAACTCAAGATGCTGTCTTGTTTTTCTAACCTACTGCTAGCTGAGCAACACCTCCTTTGAGGAGGGAGCTGCCCCAGTTGCAGCCCCCCGTCCCGTCCCGTGCCGTGCTGCTGGTGCTCCTCGGCCCAACGGGCAGCGTGGCAAGAGCGAGCAGGAGGCCGCGTGCCCGGCGCGCCGCCCCGGTGCGGCCCCGTCCCCGCTGTGCAGGCACTGCCAGCGCACTCGGCACCCCTGGGCTGGGGTCACATCAAGATATCTTCTCAGTTACACCAAAATTGTAATTATCCAGATAACTTCAAGGAAGCTTAGCTTCCTAAGACATCTAGCGTGCTGGGTCTACTCTTTGACCTCTTCAGAAATCGGCCAACACAAACAGACTCTCGAGCACCTCATTTCTCAGGGACAGGGCTTTTCCGAGGCAAATTTTCTGCAAAGTTCGGAGTTTCCATTACCCTTCCTGTCTCAATTTGTCCATGTCCAATTTATCTCTTCACTCTAGCACCCACGCTATTCCAATGTCTATCCTGATCTACATTCAAGAGGGTCTCTCTTTCCTCTTTTACACCGTGCCAAAAACACCAGACCCCTTTACCCTGCAGACAGGCTCCCAGCCCCACAGCACGGGAAGCAGCCGGGGTCTCTCCGGAGCGAGGAGCCCCGTTCTGCGGGCGGCCCCGCTCAGCGGGTGCCGGCCCCACGGCAGGGCCTTTGCTCCCCTGAGCGCCGCTAATGATGTGTGCAGCAAATTCCCCACGGAAGAACTGCTGGTGGCCGCTCAGCAGGAGCCGCTCGGGCCGTTGTGCCTCATGAATGAGTCATCTCATTAGCAGATGAAGTTTGGGGCTTTGCTAACAAGTTCCTGAGCAGCTTCAGAATTTCCCTGGTAAAAAAATATGCTAAATCTATACTGAAATTATCTCTGTATATTCTGCAAATGAATTCAAAACCACCAATGCTAACTTAACCACAAAGACCAGAAAAAGAGCCTTATATTTACTGTGGAGTAAAACGCCTCTATAAATTCAAAGTAGATTCCAAAGGAGACTGACAGCACTGAGGATACACCACAGAATAACATTTGACTGTTATATTTGGCTGCAGCATTTCTAAGCAAAGAATATGTGGGATTGTGTAATACTTATGAATCACATACTTATGTTCTTATCCCAAAGGTAAGCTCATTCTAAATGCACAAGCTGAAAGGGGAGAAATTGCTAAGAGAACAAATTTTCTCAACATTTTTATTGCCTCCTGAAAAAAAAATATTTGTAAATTTGTATTTGTAAAAAAGCTGACTGCACTACATGGTGCACCTCAGTGCTGTGTCCTAAGGACAGTGCTGCTCCTCCACGTGCACAGGCGTGCATTCCACACAGGGCACTTAGCAGCTAAATCCCAGGCAAAATTTCAAACCTCCCAGGTTAAATATCTAATATAAATAAAGGATCACTCTTCTTCTTCCTTTTTCTTCTGTCATCTCTCCATTCAATAGGATCTCCAATGCTTTCCATCATTTTCCATAAATGTCCCTCGTCTTACAGTCTGTGAATGCAAGCTATGAGTTACTTATTGCTACAGAACACTATTACTTGTTTCTATAATACACATCATATATTTTCCTCTCTCCCAGTTCCTTCCCAACAGTGTTCAAAGATGCTTGCTAGCACAGAACCGTTTTTGGCGTGCTGGTATCACATGGGCAATGATGATGGGTTTTCTGGTCCCTGTCACACTTTACCTGCTCCTTTGCATGGAAGAAGCCAGGGGCTACAGGGACCACCTTGCAGCCAGCAGCACGAGGGGATCATGACTGTAACTGCTAAACAGTCACTCCAAATTTATCAATAATCCCAGGATTTAATTCACCATTCTCTAAAAACTGCAAATGCATTTGCATGGTGGAAAAAAATGATAATGATATATTTGAGTTCTAAAGTAATACATTTTATTTGATCAGTGAACCTGTTCTAGAGAGCTTTGCCATTAGCTGCTCTCTAGCAAAACTCTAAACACGTAATAATTTGAGATTTTTCTCAGAAACTGATTACTAAAGCTCGTTACATTTCAAGTTGCTCAAGAATTTCAAATTGCTTTGAAATGACAAGAAGTATACTAATTAGCAGATTTTTCTTTTTTAGCATCTAATAAAAAAAATCATACCAAGCTGAAAATCCAACAACTATAGTTAGTCTATAACACCTTCGAAAAGCACCTTGTTTTGATAGTTACAGTAAAACATGCTACGAAGCTTATGTATCTCTTTGGCACCTTGACACCTATCAGTCTCACTCTGGGGTATGTCTATACACTAGGTGGTCTTTGCAGTGACTGCCCAGCTATAAATACACCCAGGACAGCTTCAAATAACCCTCTATTAGCAAATCTCTGCAAGACCGAGACCTTAGAGGGACTGGATCTTTAACACCCGTATAAAACCCTGTACATTTTGTATAACCTCTGCACTAACAGAAGCTACAAATTAGCATCTCTGAAAGATGCCGGCTTCTTTGGCTTGCCCAGATGTTGTTTGGTTTCAGGATTGCCCGTTCCCAGTGCACCATCCACCACGAGCTGCAACCGGCGGCCCCAGCGCGTCCCCGTCCGCGCGCGCAGGGCCGGCCGATCTCACCAGAGGTTCACCAGGAACACGTGCTCGATCTCCTGCAGGATCTCCAGCTCTCTGAACACGTTGCGAACCTCATCCCTTTCGATGCACTGCTGTTTGTTCATGTACTTCATGGCGTACATCTTCTCAGTATCTCTCTTCTGGACAATACACACCTAAAATAATAGCAGACAAAAACCCCAGAGGCTCAGTGAAACATGCTATGGTTTCATTCACTCCATGCGGCAGCTTGGCGTGAGGCCGTCCCAGCTCTGGACCCACACGCTCTGTAGATGTGCAGCTGAGGATGTCCCTGTAAACGGGCCCTTGTGGAATTCCCAACTGGATCAATGTTTTCCATCTGTGTCCCCCTTGCCTCGGCACCACCAAAGCTCGCAAAGCCAGCCCATTTCCTCAAAAGCAGAAGTTAACGCAGTCGACACAAAGGGACAGAAATGTGCAGGAGCCAGAAGCACCAGATTAAGCGAGATGCCAACCCGCAGGGCCCACCCTCACCTCGCAGTGGCCCAGGTGCCTCCGAACAAGGGCCCCCGACCTCCAAGGGCCCGTGGACACAGCAGGGGGGTCTGAAGCTCCACAACAGACCGGCCTCCTGCGAGCCGCAGCGCAGGGCCTCGGAGCTCCAAAACGTGTCATTCCCACCCGCCAGCTAAACCCATCGACACGGAGAGCCGGGGCTTCTTGGCCACAACGTGCCCCAACACGCAGCCCACACAGGTCTGTTAACACTGGGTACCAGAGAGGTTGATCTGTCATCGGGCCCTGCCCTCCCGCCCTGTTGAGATGTGCACGACCCTACTGCACCCCCTTCCCAGTAACCTGTCCTTCAGCGCATCTCCCCATGATTCTTCTGAGTACTAACGACACTTTAATTATCCAGGTAACTGTTTTTAAATGAGCTAACGAAAACTTTACATCTGCTATAATTATGCCTGTCCTCCTTTAATTATCAAACAGGGTTATGACCATAATGTGCTGGATGCATTTTATTTGAAACAAAATAATTTGGCATTTTGTTGGTACAGCCGTCACTTGGGAGGGCAAAGCGGGAGGTGACTGCAGAGAAGACCCCGTGCACAGAGCCGGGGTGCCAACGGGCAGGGTGTCCTGTGGGGACAGCAGAAAAGACACCAGCAAGACCCAGGCCACTGAACTGCTCTGCACTGCTAAAATGCTCCCCTTAATAACCATTTGCAAGGGCTAATGGCACATAATGCAATCCCATCAAGGACATGTTATAGCGGAAAGATGATGGGGTAATCGGTGGTTATCGTTAGCCAGACATAACCACCCCAATTAGGGAGTGCACCCTCAAATTACGGGGATTGCTTTGCGGTTGTCATCACAAGCACCGTGTGAACAGAAAATTATGAATTTACATCACTATACACGAGTCTGACTTCTCAGCCGGCTGCTCCTGAGCTGTTCCAGCAGGCAGGCGGGCCGGCAGGCTCCGCGCTCGGGCACGACACGGCTCGTGGGGCGAGGGCGCAGCCTGGGAACGCGGCCGCTGCAACGGCGCCGCGCCGCA